CACGTCCCGGACCCAGTGGCTTAAACTCACACTGTGTGTGTTTATGTGCGTGACCAAGATCCTGAGAGGAGAATGGAGGAGAAGGGATTGCGGCGTGACCATCCCCCCTGGGGGGTGATTTCTCGCTTTCTATCTCTATGTCTCTCTCTGTCTTTCTGGCGAGCGCACACACCCTATAGCGAAAACCTCTCCAAAAAAAAGACAAACAAACAACAACAACAAAAACAAACAACGCCCGAGGGGACCATTGGTGTAATGGCTATGTCACTGGACTGCCATGTAGTTAACTGCAATTTGAGTCCCAGACCCAGTGGCTTAAACTCACACTGTGTGTGTTTATGTGCGTGACCAAGATCCTGAGAGGAGAATGGAGGAGAAGGGATTGTGGTGTGGCCATCCCCCTGGGGTGGGTGATTTCTCGCTTTCTGTCTCTCTGTCTCTCTCTGTCTTTCTGGTGAATGCACACGCCCTCTAGCAAAACCTCTTCAAAATAAAACAAAACAAAACAAACCCAAAAACACCACTTGAGCTGGACTCCATGGTCCCACAATGACTTCTGTCATATGCATCTTTTTTCTTTTTTAATTTTGCTATGGGCCACATGTGCTCACCAGAGACAGGGCGGGAGTGGGGGGAGGAAAAGTGAGAATCACCTTTCAGGGGGATGGCCAGGCTACAATGCCCTCTTCTCTAGTCTCCTCTTGGGATTTTGGGCGTGCACACACACACACACACACCAGTTGTGATGTTCAAGCCACTGGGTGATTTCTAAGCTGCTGGGTCCAGGACTAGAACTTTGCAGCTAGCCATGCGGGACCCACCACGCCATCTGCTGACCCCACCTGTTCCATCTTTTTGAAGACCACAACCAAGACTGTCCTCACTGAGTCTCTGTCAGCCTTTCCTTCCAGACAGGAGCTCCCCTCAGGAGAGGAGCTTTGTCGATGTGTCTTGGAGCCTGAACTGACCGAGCACCGGCCCAGAAGCGTGGCCCTGCAACGGGCTGACGTGTGCCCTCCAGATGGTGCGTGTGGAGGTCCTAACCCCCGATACGTGAGAACGTGACAGTGTTTGAAGAAACGGCCTTTGCAGAGGTCATTAAGGTGTGAGGCTCAGGGCGGCCCTGACCCAGGGTGGTGTTGGCACACATGCTGGTAAATGGAAGACCGTGAGAAGACGCTGGCTGTGGCCCTTGTCGGCGGGCCACAGAGAGAAGCCTCAGAAGAAACCAGGATTGTGAGAAAGTGAGTTTCTGGAGTCAGCTCTGTAGCACGGCAGTTAAGCACTGTGCATAGGGAGCTAGATCCCACATGGCTGACTATGGTTCAAATCCTGGCTTGGGGGCTTGAAAAACATACGGGGTACATGTGTGTTTATGCCCATAATCCTGATAGGGTGGAGGCGTGCAGGAGGAGGGATGCAGTGAAGCCAGGCCCTGCTGCGGGCACGTTCTCTCTCTCTCTGGCAAGCACACGCACCCCCTGGCAATAAATAAATATGCATTACTGTTGTTTAAACCACAAGCATCTAGCACTCTGTTAGGGCAGCTCGAGAAAATCAGGACAGACAGGCACAATCCCAAATTCGAAAGGTGTTCATGGGCCTGTGCCTTGGCACCATTTCTTTTTTTAAAACAATTATTTTATTTTATTTATTATTATTATTTTTTAATTTGACCAGAGAGAAACAGAGAGAGGGAAAGTAAGAAAGCAAGCCTCCAGTTCCAGGATCCAAACCTCAGTCAGCCATGAGGGAGTCCAGCACCTCAACCACCATGCCACCTGCTGGACCCCCAGGACCTTTTTTCTTTTCTTTCTTTCTTTTTTTTTTTTTTT